GTGAGGAGAAAGGGGGGGGAAGGGCCCGGCGGGACCGAGAGCGATCCCCGCGGGGCTGAGAGCGAGCCCCCCCGGCCCCGGGAGCCGCTCCCTGCTCGGGGGAGCGGGCACAGGGACCTCCCTTTCCCCCTCCCCCGACTCCCCCCGTGGGACCCCGCTCCCCGCAGCGCCCCGGGCCCAGCCCCGCTCCCGTCCCGGTCCCGTTGGGCTCACCTGTTGAGGTTGACGCCCATGGCGATGTTGCGGTCGCAGCGGTAGGTGTCGAAGCCCTCGGAGCGCAGCGTGAGCTGCACCAGGGAGACGTGCGAGGAGTCCATGCTCTGCAGGCTGATGCCGCCCGAGCCCAGGTCCCAGCAGGCCTCGGTGATGAGGTCCTTCAGGGCCTCCAGCACCCGCTTCAGGACGGAGCCCTGCACCAGCCGCGCCTCGAACATCCTTCCAGCGGCGGCACCAACACCCACGTACAGACCCCGGCACCGCGACTGCTCCCCACAGCCCCCCGAGAACCCCCCTTTATACCCTCCTCCGCCCCGCCCACCGCCGCGCCGCAGCCAATCGCCGGCGCCTCCCTTTCAGTCCAACCCAATCGGCGCTCCCATGACAGAGCCTTCCCCACTCTCTCCAGCCAATCCCGGCGCTGCGCTCCCCCTTAATCCTGCCCCTTCGTCAGGCGGGAGCCAATCGCTATGGGGGTTACACACACACACACACACGCGCGCGCGCGCGCTGTGGCGCGGGGCCCCGTCCCGCTCGGGGGTGCGGCCATGGCCGGCGGGGCCTGGCGGGGGGGGCGGCCTCGGCTGAGGGAGAAAGGGCAGCTCTCTGACCCCCGCGGCCGAGCCGCCTGAGTGAAAACCAGGATCTTCTCTTTATAGACAGAGCCGTCGCGATTCTCCCAGCGCTCGTGATTCTTCCTGCGCGCGGGGCTTTCCCTGTCGCCACACGGCGCGGCCTCCCCCGCCCCCGGCGGCAGCGACGCGCTTTGGCCCACCCAACATGGCGGCTCCGGGCGCACATCCGGGTACACCTGGGCGGGGCCAGCGTCGGGCGAAGCCCC